GACAGTCAGGTCTACGTAACCGGAACGAACTCGGATTTTGAATTGGCCAAGCAATATCAACTCGTATTATTTCTACTGTTTCAATAACTATGCCATATATACTTTCAGAGGCCTTTTTTAAGTTTTTCAAACTGTTGATAGCTTTGACACTGTGACGATCAAATATCAAACATACTGGATTCAGTGCCGAAAAAGCACCCATCACATGGTAACATATATAAAGGTGAAACTGATAAAAGCGTTTTATCTTGATTGTAATCGGTATAAATATTACATTAGTCCGATCTGAAAAATATGTACAGAAATTGTAGCGTTGCTCAGGACTATYATTGTCGCTGAATTTTGTTAAGATGTGCTGCTTCCTTTTGAAAAAATTTAACTCAGAATATAGTAGAATATAGGATTGATTTAAAGTTTTTCACAAAGGGAACCTTTATTATTCTAACCTCCATCAGGACCGGGAAGGGCTTTTACGAGCCGTACGATACTAAGCTTGATACCTTGCAAGGAGAGTTCCAATCGTACGACTTCTAAACACTATTGCTGGCTGCAAACAGAATAGAGAATGTACAATCTTCTGCCAGTACAATTTTTGGCGTATGCCTATGACATCGATATCATGGGAAATTAAAACCGCACCGTTAGTTCAGGCTTGACATAGAAGCAACATTTGGATCTAGTATTGAACGAGGGTCGGACGAAATATATCCTTGTCGCATCCACAATTTGGCAATTCACTCATCATTCCACACAGATAAAGGTTTTGTGGATGACTTATGATCCATTGTGCATTGACAACGGCGAGTACTGCAGCTATACGAGATATGTATATGGTGATATTGAAATAGTTCAGCGAATTAAAAGACAGTGGATACCCTGGGTAGGTCCTGTTGTCCGAATGGACGAAAACTCTCTATCTCTGAAAGAACTCGCCTGCCAGTGAAAGCAGAAAAAAAGTAATACATCCACTACGTTGGAGAGATCAGGTGAAGATGGACCTAATATATCTATATTCCCTCATCATACTATCCTGAAGTGATCGTTGCTTTGTTCTTTAATATGTTGGATATATGTATATAGAGGGTTTATTGGGTTATTGGAATATGTACATGAAAATATATTACCCACAGAAGATATCTAAAAATTGAATTTTTTTAGTATTAAATTCATTTATTTCTATTCTTCGTAAGAAATACGTAGTACTTATTTAGATTGGGAAGCTATTTTTAGTT